GAGATTCCTTGTGTGTAATAGCTTCCTTGTACTCTAAATTTTACTGTAAATTTACCCTAAATGATGACTAGAAGTTCACTTATCTTCAATATTAAACTAATAATTATTTATTTTTAGAATCTGGTTGTTTCTCTATTACCTTTAGTACTTACTCATTAAGTATGTTTACTATTAAATTTGTTTTTTGCAGTCCTTCTGTCTTAAAAATGTGATGGAATGTGGTTTTTTATTTGTTTGTTTTTTTGTATGTTCTTCCCCCCATGGTACAACCTCTGTTGTCACTGTATTTGATTCCAGTGTCCTGCATCTTGTATATACATTTTCCTAATTTGGGGAGGGGAAGGGAAATAACAAAATGCTGAAATAAGGATACAGGATACCCAATGTAGCAATGAGATGTACAAGACACTATGTTGAAAATGAAATTTACAATTTTGTGCAGGGTGGGGGGGGGAGGTGGGGGTTGGGGGATGGATGGTGGGGGAAAAACAAAGGAGGGTAACAATGCTAGATAGGAAATGGACTCATTACCTTGTTCATGTAACTGAAACCTCTCTGTACAGTATCTTTACAATGAAAATATATATTTAAAAAATGTGATGGAAATGAAAATTTTCAGTTGAATTGTATAAAAATTTGCATGTAATCAAACTGATCTTTTAAATATAGATTTGTGAGTTTTGACATTTGTTTTTTGCAGTTGTGGGGCTAGAACTTTGACATATGTTTAAACTGATGTAATCACTGTCACAATCAGGACATAGAATAGATACATCATCCCCAAACTCCCATGTGTTGTCTCAAATCCATCCTAATTCCTTACAGCCATTGTTATATTCTGTGTTACTATAGGATTGCTTCTCTTGGAATGTCAAATAAATACAATCATGCAATGTTTAGCTGTTTGAAATTGGCTTTTGAGATTCACCCAAGTAGTTGCATGTATCCGTTCCTTCTCTGTTCTTTTCTTGTTGAATATTAATCGGCTATGTGGATATACCATGTATGTGTTTATCCATTGATACTGTGAAGGACTTCTTTAGATAAATTCCTACAAATGAGTTTCCTGGGTATATTAGTTAGCTTTTCACTTTTGTGACAAATATCTGAGAGCAACAGTGTAAAAGGAGAAAAAGTTCATTTTGGTTTGTACTTTCAGATGTTTCAATCCGTGTTGGGTTAGCTCCATTTTGGGGGAACAGAACATGGCTGGTGGTGGAAGGGCATGGCAGAGCAAAGTTGCTCCCTTCATGGTAGCCAGAAAGCAGAGAGAAGTAACAGAAAGTGTCCAAGGCCAAGATACAACCTCCAAAGTCGTAACACCAGTGATCTACTTCCTTTAAGTCCTTCCTTCACCATCTCACAATAGTCTGTTCAACTTTTGAATCCATCTATGGATTTAACTTAATTATTTCAGACTCCTCGTGATTTATTTGTTTTTGGAATGCTCTCCCAAACACCCTCAAAGATTGTTTTACTCATCTCCCAGGTATCCCTCAATCTAAGTTGACCATCCAGATTAACCACACTGGATCATATGTTAGATATACACTTAATTTTAAGAAACTATTATGCTGCCTATCAATATGACAGTATATTCCTATCCGCAGTGTATAAACTTCTAAGAAGTTAAGTGCTGTTGGAATGCCATGGAGTTAGGGTTAGCAAATTTTGTTCCATTTGGGCCTTGAAAGTTTGAGGAGATCCATGATAAGTACACTGGCAGCAGGTCTGCTTTTGTGTGCTGTGTACGTTGGAGTTCTATGTAAGAATACATTTGATGGGAAATAGGCTTATCTGCAAAGTGTTGAGAAACCACTGCAGTAGGTCACTGCATGTAGAGTGTAGGATGTGAAACTTTGGGGATATCTGGGTGATAGTGCATATATTGAAGCCCACAGTGAGAAAGTCATTCCTTCTTCAGCTCCTGATGGATTCAGCATGTCTTTAGCATTCTTTAGCATTTGTTAACATCTTCTTTTACAAAGAGGGAACACATTTCAGCCTTAGGGCCTTCAGCAACCAATAATACCTATCTAGAATGACATAAACATGTACCTTTCTTTTATATAGAATTACTTTTATTGCCTTTCACATTTGTGATAGGCACAACTGTTTTCCTTTTTTTTTTTTCTTGTAAAGTGAATATATTCATATTTTTAATAGACTGTTTTGTTTTGTTTTGTTTTTTGGTCATGGGACTTGAACTCAAGGCCTGAGTGCTATCCCTGAACTTTTGTGCTCAAGGCTAGTACTCTGCCACTTTGAGCCACAGCACCACTTCTGGTTTTCTGGGGGTTAATTTGAGCTGAAAGTCTCAAGGACTTTCCTTCACAGGCTGGCTTTAAACCTCAATCCTCAGATTTCAGCTGACTGGGAAGCTAGGATAACAGGCATGAGCCACCATGCCTGGCAGTAGGCTGATTTTTAAAGAAAAATACTCAGTGTTGTGTAGCTTGTCTCCAACATGGCAGGAGTCATGAAGATGTACTAGAATGATTGTGAAGCTGAGCCTGAAGATATGGCTAAAAAAAAACAAAAACAAAAAAAAACAACTAAGGCAGACACCAGTGGCTCATGCTGTAATCCTAGCTACTCAGGAACTAAGATCTGAATATTGAGGTTCAAAGCCAGGAAAGTCTGTGAGACTCTTCTCTCCAATTAACCACCAGAAAACTGGAAGGTGCTCTGTGGCTCAAGTGGTAGAGCACTAACCTTGAGCTGAGGGACAGCGCCCAGGCCCAGAGTTCAGGTCCCACGACTGACAAAAAAAACCCAAGAAACAAAAACTAACTTCCAGTATTTACAAAACCAGGAGTTTTCTTTCTCCCTTCCTTCCTTCCTTCCTTCCTTCCTTCCTTCCTTCCTTCCTTCCTTCCTTCCTTCCTTCCTTCCTTCCTTCCTTCCTTCCTTCCTTCCTCTTTCTTCCTTCCTTCCTTCCTTCCTTCCTTCCTTCCTTCCTTCCTTCCTTCCTTCCTTCCTTCCTTCCTTCCTTCCTTCCTTCCTTCCTTCCTTCCTTCCTTCCTTCCTTCCTTCCTTTCTTTCTTTCTTTCTTTCTTTCTTTCTTTCTTTCTTGTAGCATCCACATATCAGGGAGACCATGTGTCGTTTTAAATCAGGAGTTTTCACATTTAAATTCCCTCCCACAAAAAGATTTTAAATTCATTTTGAAAATTTACGAGTACGCTATTCTGAATGGCAAAATTAGCTAAAGCTAAATAGTGGCTGCCATTCTAGATGAGTGTGTGTTCTCTTTGGGCAACCTTGGCTTGACTCATCCATGCTATGTACCTGGCGCTAGATGGTATTTGAATTTGTAACCCCTGGATCCTGGGATCATAGATTGGCATTATCTAAAGAAAGTGATCATTCCTCTCTTAGGTAGGGGACTGAAAAGGTTTCTGTAGAACTTAATTGAGTAGCCAACCACTTACATCCCCTAGTGTAGTCAATGTCATAGTGGAACTAAGAGGTGAAAGTCAAAGTTCTTTTCCTGGCTAGTGTTACTCTAATAATCTTGGATCCTTTTAAGATAATACTTCCTGCCTTTTCTCCTTGTGTCAACTAAAGGTTTTGATTTTGAGCATCAGAAACAGATTCTAATGAGTTTGTTAAAAGAATATTGGCTAACTGAAACCATCAGTGGAAAAGAGAATCATCTGAATTGAGAAAATTCAGGAAACCAGCAACACCTTGAGAACCATAGATGATACTAGCAAGGATATTGATAAATTGGCACTGGATTTTTTTTTTTTTTTGGTCAGTCGTGGGGCTTGAACTCTTGGCTTGGGCGCTCTCCCTCAGCTCTTCAGCTCAAGGTGAGCACTCTACCACTTGAGCCACAGCGCCACTTCTGGTTTTCTAGTGGTTTATTAGAGATAAGAGTCTCACAGACTTTTCTGTCTGGGCTGGCTTTGAACCGTGATCCTCAGATCTCAGCCTCCTGAGTAGCTAGGATTACAGGTGTGAGCCACCAGTGCCTGGTGTCACTGGATTTTTTCCCCCACTCTCTTTGTCATTCCTATCAAGAGTCTAAAGTCCTGGAAAAGGGAATCAAGGCAACCTGGTTCACATTCTTGATAGTGGAGGAAAGAACACCTTGGTTGATCGTCTCTTTAAATTTACAGATAAAAACTTTCCTAAGAAGGTAGTTGGATCTCTTTCTGGACAAAAGGATATATGCAGTAGAAATAATAGACACTATACCTTGTCTCAGGTGATCATGAAGATATTATGTAAATACTATACGATGCTATCAAGGAGTTAACAACGAGAACCAAATTATGAATCTGCTCTTTAAACATCAATTAGATGAGGAATATATTGAATGATCAGATCATAAAAAGTAATAATTTCATTCCCTTTAGCCATTGCTTCATTTATAAAATCTCTAAAGAAGCTAGACTAACTTTAAAAGCAACATAATCTTAAGGTGTTTGCTGAGCTATCATGTTCTGGGTAATTTTTAAGATCTTGATTTGCAAGAAGCAAGGAAACAAGTAAATCTTGCTCCTTTCCCCCAGCTCCCCCATCACTGGCCTGGGTAGAAATTGAAAGTAATGATTCAAATCAGAGAGGCAGAGTGGAAGGCCTCAGCTGGGTGGCAGGAAACAGAGAAAAAGTCAGAGCCTGCTCTTTTTTAAAAAGGCAAACCCAACAACTCACAGAGAAGTGTACGTGAAAATCATATCTAATAATAGCTCATGGTAGGCAATTCCCAGGGAAAAAAATCATTGGTGTGCTGAGAAAATGAGAGAGAATTCACAGTATCTTGATGTGTTACTCTAGGCCATGGAGCTTTGGAGTTTACCTTATGTGCCATGTACATTGATTAGACACAAAATATATGCTGGCCATTTTTGACCATCATTTACTGTATTGATTTGTTAGCAGGGGAACTGTAATAAAAAAGCCATTGATTTACTGTCCTTATTTGCTTATGGGCTTTTTTATTATTAATTTTTCACTTTTTCTTTTCTCTTTTGGATCATTTCTTGTAGACAAATGCTGTGGTTCATGAAGTGAAAAGAGAGGGGCTCCCCGTGGAACAAAGGAATGAAATCCTGACTGCCATCCTGGCCTCACTCACCACACGCCAGAACCTGAGGAGGGAATGGCATGCCAGGTTAGTTCTGTTAGGAAATGGGATTTGTTGTCTCTGACAAACAAGAGCTATATTTGGCTAAGTCCTTCCTTACACCTGGTATTTGAGGGGCCATGAAAAATAAGTAAGCTGAAGACCTTTTCAGCTAAAGTTAGCTTTCCTGCCCGTGGTAACCTACATTCATTGTAATGACCCATGACGTAGTCTGTATGTGAGTGTGATTTATCCCTGAGTGTAACATTCAGCATACATGTTTGCATCTTGAGCATAATGTAATATAAGTACCTGAAGCTGAAGAGCCCCATTCAATCAGCAATCAAAAAGATTTGCATTCCTGTTTTGTTAGGGCAAATCAACGCTTGGGAAATCCACACAATAACTGTCACTGGAGGAAGGGCAGATTATTTGAATGTAGAGTCTGTTTATTACCCCATTTTTAGAATTGACCAAGTAGAAATTACTTCTGCTAGTTTTTCTACATAGAGATACTATGGTTAGGAAGCTGTTACTGGTAGAAAATTTGTATAAGACATACATTTTTGTAGAATCGTTGCTTGCATAGTTTATGTCATGGTGCCCTGTTCATTTTTGATAAACAATTGATATACAAAAGGTTAGAGCTGCTTGTAGTTTGTAAAAATTACTGAATTATCATCTGTCTCTAAGTGAGAGGGAGAGGAATTAGGAAGATTATACTGTATTTTGTCTCAGAGTCTTATTTGGCACATAAAAATTCTATATGCCTGGGTGTCAAGAATATTTATTAATAGCCATAATATTCTCCAAGTGACTTCATACAACAGAATTTACAATAATTGATAGCTTTGCTAGTAATAATTATCATAAAAATAGATTTTTCTGAACAAGGCTGGAGAGTGTTTTCCAAAGTAAAAGACAGTATGAGCGATTGATTTTGATCAGATATCAGAAAGCTGTTTCTTCAAATATGTTATTATCTGTAAATTCCGATTTACGTTTAAACAATCATTTAAAAATTCCCAGTATTTTTCCTCTTTTCACAATGTGGTCATAATAAAGGACACCATTTCAACTGCATTAGTGGCTGATTTCCAATTGAACATTTTATAAGTAATTTAAAAATATCCTTTGTATTATAATTTAAATGCTGTATTTATTAGAGAATGCATATCTATATTATATTATAGAATATCAGCGTAGGGGAACCAAAAAGGTTTCCTTACCTCTGACATTTTCTAGCTTCCCCATGGTGATTCTTATAAAATAGGAAGGGGAAGCAGAATGAATTCCCTGCAATCTCCCTCTGGGTTCCTCCAGAGACAGCAGGAGATGTGGATGTTGAGAATGGCTTTCTTTTGTTGAGTGCATTTGGTTTGTTAACAGTAATTTCCTATGACTCCAAATCATCAAACGATGTGGCCAAAATGGCCTGTTTAACAGGAGTCTGGTCTCAGCATTTCTGGCCCTTACTGCTAACAATTTAATCAGGAGCTGGAGCCAGTGTTGAAGTTGATGTAGTCTAGCATCTGAAACAAAAATTCTCAAGTCCTTTGTGGTAGGGGAGGAGAAAAGAAAGCGCTCAGCCACTGACATTGTGCAGACTCCCTTAAAACCAAACACCTGAAAGAAAATTTCAAGAGAGCGATGTCTTGAGAGCTCAGGAGGCAAAGTGTCCTCAGAGTATTAAATAACCATAATCCTTCCCGCTCCCCTTTTCACCCTCATTTGATGTTTCCCATCCCAGTTCCCTATCTAAAAGACTCATCCATATGATCTGTATAAACAGACGGTCACCATATCCCTCTCTCTTCCTCATCAAAGCGTCATCTGGCTGTCTGGAGCAGGGCAAAGGCTCGGTTAGCATCCAGCATGTAGTGGTGAAAGTTATAAAACATCCACGGCAGTGCTTCCCTTGCTGCCTGTGTTTCAGAGATTGGCCTATTGTGTACTTTGGAATTACACAAGGAAAAATGTGCTTTGACAGAAAATAATTAGCACTCACCAAAGGCCAAGCAATAGGTTACAGCATTTTACTTTCATCAAAGCTATCAGGGGATCAGTTAGATTAGATAATAGAAATTTTTTCCTCTGAAAGTTACATACAGATGATTCTAATTATCTTCTATTGCACATTTGAGGATGCATTATGAACTATACAACTTCAAGAAATTTAGGTCAGCTGAGACTATGCAGCTGGCAATAACTTGAGCATAAGTCTACTATAATAAGCCCTCTCAACAGCAGGTTCATTTGTGATCATGATATCAAGGAGAATATTTTCAGGGAAACTTGTAACTTAGTTATAAAATATTTGTACCTCTTTTAGGCCAGATGCCGAGCCATTGTTGGGATTTACTAGCATCTCTGAAACCAAACACATATGTTCCCTGTAATTTAGCTTCTTGAACAAAGTGTCAATTCTGCAACGACTCGGGGTAACCGAGTTTGTCACAGTGTCACACAACCCTGTGATTCCAGAGGCACATCTGAGTGCTGTGGGTTTCCTTCCCCAAACTCGGTAATCCTATAAACAGCTCTCTCCAAATAGGCTTATTAGGGCTGTCTATTCACTTCCCCAGAGTTGAATGATCCAAAGTACCTCAGGAGCCGCTGTGTGAATGCAGGGTAAGTGTTAACAGAAGTGGTACAGAATTTCTGAAGATTTGGCTTTGTTTATACAGTCCACTCTGCCTGATGGACAGCTTGTTATAGCTTTTAAAGAACTGGGCAAGCCCTCTGATCTGACCCCTTCTTGACCTCCACAGCCCAAAGGTCAGTCTGCAGCTAATAAACTCAAAGGTTCTTAGGGTCTACTGTAGGAAAAGGCAGGAAAAGAGCAGCTGCAAGGACTGTGTATCCCAGGATCGGCTGCTTTAGGGTCAGTCTTGATAATGAAAATGATTACCAAATTATATGGAAGTTTAACCGCAATAGTGAGAGAGAGGAGGGTGGAGCTCAGCGTATTAGGTTTGATAAATGAACTGTGAAGAGGCCCATCTGGCTCTCAACATCTTTTCTCCTCCTCTTTCCCTACCAAGGGGAAACATTTTAAAATAACAGCAGTACATATAGACTCAATGACCCATGCAAGGAGCTAGAATGGATTAAGATTTAATGGTGACAGTGGAAGGAATTATCATTTGAAACATGCACCAAAAAAAAGGTACAGTCTGATGTTCATGCCTGAGTTGTTTTTCTAAATAAAATATTTTAAAAAGTGACTTCATTTATATTCTACACCATCCTTATTATCTTACCCAGATTGCTGAAAAATTGGAAGGTGTTGTTTTTCATGAAATAAAAATAGAGCATTTTAGATCATAAACAAATGGGCCTTGTTTGAACATGTCAGAATAGAATCATACATTTTGATTCTGCTTGTTCAGTTTCAATGATGTAGGTTAATGGAATGCTAGAGGTTTTTTCACACACACAAAAATTGGTGTCTATTTTAGTGTCTCAGAATTGTGACTGTTTTAGTATTAGCTTAGGTATTATAGCTCATGAACTTTGATTTGTTCCTATGACTGAGCAATGTTTCTAAGATGACAAGATGAAAGTATATAATGTTCATTGAGTAGGTTATGTTTATTCCTACCTTTTTTTTTTTCAATGAAACCTCATAGCAGTGGTAATTTATTTCAACAATGGCTAGATCACTAGATGCTATATGACTGCTTACTGTCATGAGGGTAATCTACTTAAAGCTCTCTCCAGTTTCCTATGAACTTTAGACCAATGGCATTGAGACCATGAAGCTGTTTTTCTACAGGGGTAACTAACAAGTGTCATGACTATACTTTGTGAAACAAGGTAGTTTTATCCAGTAGGCAGTGTGTGTGTGTATGTGTGTGTGTGTGTGTGTGCGTGCGTGCGTGCGTGTATGTGTGTGTGTGTGTGAGAGAGAGAGAGATAGAGAGAGAGAGAGAAATGCTGAATGGGATGCTATATAATAGACTGTGTTAAGCCTCCATTGTCAGAGTTTATCTGAGGATAAGAATGTCAGAAGTTCCTAGAAGGAGGTGATGGTAAAGAAAGTGGTGGAGCCCTTTGTTAGCACTACAGAGTTGGCTTTGACCTGCTCAGGAAACTATTTAATTGTAGATGACTTGGTAGACTAGGATTGTTGTGGTATGGAAAACCCCTTATACTGAGCTACATTGTTGGATAATAGAAGCTTTACCCAGACTGTAATTATATTAAAAATAGAAACTAAAAGCTTCTAAACATTACCCAAAGTTAGCTTATTTTTCATCTTGGTCTTGACTTGACTGTATATGTGTGTGAGGATTTAGAGTGAGCAGGAAGCTGTATAAAGGATAAAACAGAGCTGAGGAACACTTAGAGAATTAACTGTATTTTTTAACTTTAAAACAGTGGTTCTAACTTTGTGCTATGTAATGTGAAGATACAAAAGGTAAGACAAAAGTAAGGCCATTAGATTTTTTTTAATTGAGATGCAGCTCACATAGTGCAATTTTTATCCAACATAAATTCACCATTTTAATGTATACATTTTACTTTCTATATATGATACTATCACTACTATGTAACTGTAGAATATTTCTATGACCCCAAAATGATGCCTTGTGTCTGTTAATAACCATTCTTAATTTTTTCTTCTCTCCATAGTCCCTGACAGCCACTAATCTACTCTTTGTCTCTTGAGATTTGCCTATTCTGAACATTTTTTATAAACAGAACTGCACAGTATGCGGTCTTTTGTGCTTTGCTTCTTTCATTTACCATAATGATTTCAAGGTACATCTGGGTTACAGCATGTACAGTCTGCATTCCTTTTTGCTGCTGAATAATACTCTGTTGTATGATTTATATTATTATCTACATTATATTTACACTTTATTTATCTAGTCATCAGTTAGTGAACATTTGGGTTGTTTTACTTTTGTGCCTTATTAATAATGTTCCTGTGAATATTCATGTTTAGAATTTGTGTGTGTGTGTGTGTGTGTGTTTGTGTGTGAGTGTGCATGCGTGCATGTGCATGCATGAACTAGTCCTGGGGCTTGAACTTAGGGCCT